TGGGTGCTACACATTGATACATGTGCCCTAGATTGAGAAGGTGTTAGGGGGTTCAAGCAAATGTTAAGCAGGCCAAAAAAGTCAGTCACGAATTTAGAAGCTATTAAGTTCCAAATAGTAGCTCAAGAGTTAGAAAGTGCAGTGGAAGTGTGGGATATCACGATGAGACAACAAAGAAGAAGATGTTGCATGATTGATCAGAAACCAAATACAGTACATGAAAAGTTGAGAATTCATTTCCCCAATTTGAAAACGAATTCATTTCAAAAGGGGGAGTTTGTGATATCCCTAAACCCACTAAATCCCCCCCCCCCCCTAAGTCCTAAAAGCCATGTCATAAAGCCCACATCAAAAGCCTAAGCCTAACTTTTGCTAACCTGGGTCCCTCTCCTATATAGATTTCGCAAAGCAGCCTTGAACAAAAGACATCTAGCGAACCTCTACCAAATTCTCTGTAGAACAGTCTCTAATAGCTTTCCGAGTAGCAACCTTTCGAGATAGTTTCCCGTCGACTCTGAAGAACCCATATTGCGATCTTTGTGTTGTTGGAAAGAGAATTTTCCTATCTTTACAAAGCCTCTTAATTTGTAAACTTTATATGTATGTTTTGTTAGTTATAGCCATTTCAATTCGAGAGAATCAATCTGTCAAATCTTAGAAATCTGGCTTTTCCAAGTTTTGTTGAAGAAGTTGCAGGCCAATTTTCTGGCAAACCATATTGATCCAACCCCCGTTGAGCATTTCATAGGAAAGCCCATCAAGCCATCTTGCTGTGGCAATTTGCTGATCCCTGATCCGAGGTAAAATGCAAAAGTTATGTCAATTATCTATCGGTTAAGAGTCTAAATTGGAAAAATATGAAAACTCATTGGTAAGCAAGATGAAGAGAAACTATTATCCAAAAATCCTAGACTTTAGAATATTCTAATTTGGAGTATTTTTTATTTTGTGAAGGTTTCCATTTTAAAAAAGTTTTAAATTTGCGGATGTATGTTTAAAGAAATCTAAACACTATTATTCTAGTTGAAGTTTTTAACTGTCAATCGCAGTAATCACACCTTCCAATTCCTTGTTTCCAACCAAAGACAAAGGTGAGGACTTGTTTGTGATTCTCAAAGATGCATTAGCTGAATTAGTAATGTGTGTATTCCAAAGCATCATAACGAACTTATTATAAACACATTTATTGTCAAAAATTCATTTATTTAATCTGAATTGGAAATTCAAAGCATCATAATGTGTATAAGATTAAATTTTAATTTTTATTATTATAATGCTTTGAATTTCCAATTCAGATTAAATAAATGAATTTTTGACAATAAATGTGTTTATAATAAGTTCGTTATTATTTGAAAAAATCGGCTTAACGTGTGACAATCACTATTGGCTAAGATACTGGGTCTGCAATTTCTCAGGTAAAATGTTAAGAGTCTCTGTTAAGAAACAAAGAGCTAAGCTGGCGCCACAAATAAAAGTCAATAATGTTGAACTGAACAAGTAAAGACCGTTGACCAGGGCTGGCCCTGAAAATTTAGGGGCTCAAGCAAAAAAGAAAAATAGAACTGATAAATGTTTGATTTTACAAAATTTCGGAGCTTTTTGTTGCAACTAAAAAAAATATTGGGGGCTTATTTTTAATATTAAAAAGGTAAAAAAATTTGGGAACCAAGGTTAATGTTTTATTTGGCTTGGTCCAGAACCGGCCATGCGGTTGACTACTGACATCGTAAGGTTTGTATATAGCTTTCATTTACATTTTCTGTTACAATATCTAGAAATTAGATCAGGAAATTGTGAGAGAGCGTGATTTCTCCAGTTTGCGCAATTTTTAAGAGAGTCTTCTTGAGATTAAAAGTTACCAATCATCATTGGAGAGTTTCCTTCACATATCAATAAATCGTTTGTTGAGTAGAATTAAATCGTGTTATTCACTTAGCATCAGTCTTATGTGTAAACCAAGGTCGAATCCGAACACCAACAGTAAATAATAATGATATTGCCAGTCAAACCATGAATGAAACAAAGAAAGCTACTCTCTTTTATTTCAAAATAAGTGTCATTCTAAAGTTTTATTTTTGTTTCATAAAAAATATCACTTTATATTTTTAATGTATTATTTTGAATAAATATCCAGTTTTAACCTTTGACTTTTATTGTTTTAATTAGAAAGAAAATATTATTTTGTGTATAGGTAAAACATAATTTTAATAATTTTCATAATTTATGTAAAAATATCAAAATGATACTAATTTTTAAATAGAGAGAGTATTTCTTTTTAAGGTGAGAGGAAATCCCCTATATATTAATTGAGAAGCATTTTTAAAGAGTAACCTCATTTTTGTAAGTATTTACAGTGGTGCCATTATGCTGATGTGTCAACCCCACATTTATTTTCAGCTAATTGTTTTCAAAAGACTTAGATTACTAGACTAATTACATGATATGTCATCCTTTATATATTTTAGATCCATACATATGTTACGTTTCATTTTATAAATCAGCATTTAATTTATTAAGATATTATCTTTCTTTTATTTCTTACCAAAAATATATCATATTAATTATTTCTTTAATTACACTTCTACCAAAAACTATTTTTTCTCTTATTTTCATTTAAACTTACTTTTATAAAGTAAATAAATTATCACATCATCCATATAATAACAAATATATAGATTTTTTGTACATGTACTATAATTTGAATTTTAAAAATTGAATATAAAGTACTTTAATTATTAATAAATAAACATAAATCATTATAATTTGAATTCATTATAATCATTATAAAAATTGATTGTAATTTGAGTTCATTATAGTCATTATAAATAAAAATAAATAATTATAATTCAATTTAATTGACTCTTTCCAAAAGTAAATTCTCAATTAGCTCATAATTTATATTATTTTCAAAATTTAGTATACAATAAATAGTATTTAATATTTGATATAATATATTTATGAGCTAATTGAGAATTTATTAATAATTTTAATGAAAATGAAATTTATTGTGTTTTATATATGTTAATAATATAAGTAATTTAATTTATGGCGCATTCACTAATCTAATTTAGGTATAAGTAATATATTAATTCAAATTTATTTTGTTAATTTAGATATATATATATATATATATTAAAAGATTTCGAGTACACCAATAGTGACACTTTTGTCTAATAAGTCATCAATGTTTAAAACTTATTTGGAGTAAAAATAATATATAAGATGGATAAAAATCAATATTTTTATAGAAGCTAATAATAATAAATTTTATTTGTCATATTATTTTTTATATAATCAATCATAGCAAAAACGCATCAAAACTCTAACCATATTACATCTTAAATTTAATATTCCACATTATTATATATACACTATACTCTCAACTTATTATTTATCATATATTTAATTATACTTTATTATTATATTTTAGATAGTATTTTTGGATTACAGATTTTTAGAGTCAATAATTATTCTTTTTTTTAGAAAGAGATAATTTATGGATGTAATTATTGTTATTCAAATTAAAAATATAAAAATTGTGTCTTTTTTTTTATTCATTCGATATAGTAAATAAGTAATAAACTATTTAAATAATAATATTTAATTATTATTTAAGAGTCAAAAATAATTAAATATATACATAAATATTATACTAAATTTAAATAAATAATAATGATTTTATCCTGTGCTGGGTATAGGTTATTACCTAGTTTAATGTGAAAGGCTGTGTCCCTAAAAGTTGGAATGCATAAGACGTTTTCTGTAATTTACTAAAAACTCGAATAAAATAAATAAAAGAAGAATTGGTCAAACCAATTAATATTGGTTATTTGGATTTGTTTTTATTCGGTATGGTCGTTGCTGAAGCACTTGACTTGGCAAATCGTTGACTCATTATAGCGTGACAAATGGGGGAGATTTAAAATTCTGGTACGGGTTTAGAAAATGGAGGATAAGCAAAAGAGTTAATTACTCCTACCCTGATTAAGTTTTTCAATCACGAGTATATATATACACAGAAAAATTAATAAAACTTATTTTTTTCAAGAAAGTTTGATTAACATGTGGTATCTTTGATTTAGTTTGAGTTATGTGTATAACTCAAAAATGTTACCAATCATGCATTATTTTTGTTTTTTTTGCATTAGAGTTTAAGTTACAATGTGTTATGGTTGCATTAAAATGTTGAGTTATGTCTTTGTAAAATTTATAACTCAACTCAACATCTTAAATCATGGTAATTAGTGAGTTACAAGTTGAGTTAGATATTTATTTTGCATTAGTGCAATTTTTTTTTGTTAATAAAATCTTTTAAATAATTCTAATTTTTATAATTTATTTTGTTGATTAAAATCAGCTCGAAAATCTTTTTAACATTACTTGTCAAAACTATTTGTAAACATTTGAATTATCCAAATTTAGGTTTTCCTATATAATTAATTATTGATTTTATTTGGTATTTTAAAAATTACTTAAATAATATAATATATATATTTATATATGAATGCTTTTAGCTAATTGTTGATAGATACAAAGAATATTAAAAATTCTAAGATCTGTTTTTTATTATTATCTAAAATATTTTTTTTTATTTTGATGAATTTCAAGTTAGTATTAATTTCTTTATTCAATTTTATTATTATAATTAGTATAAAAAATATTAGTTTATATAATTTTATTTAATTTAATTTTAAATAATATATACTGCAACTTATACATCAGAAAAGATACCAATCATCTATTTTAATAAAAATACTAACTCAAATTTTTACAGTAAATTTACCCTATAAATTTATTGTTTTTACCACATAATTTTACTGCAATTTATATATCGAATTATAACATCAACTGTATCTCAACTTTAAAAATACATATCACCAATCGGAAATAGAAAATAAGAAAACAGACCTTAAGAAAAACTTTTTCACCATCTTCAGTCTTCGCACTATAAATTGTGTTTATTTGTTCTACCTACTTTAAGTCTCCAACAAACTAAAAAGTATCTAAGCAAAACAAACACAGAGCAGCGAAAAAAGAGGAAGCCATGCTTTTTAAGCGCTTCACTATCATCTTCATCAGCATACTCTTTCAATCCCTAAAATCTTCTTCCCAAGTTCTGAACTTCACTTACAATGGCTTTCATACTTTTAGTGACATATCCACCCAAGGCATCACAGCTGTCATACCCAACGACCTACTTAGGCTAACCAACACGACCGTTCAAAAAGCCGGTCACGCCTTCTATTCCAAATCAATTCGGTTCAAAGATTCTCCAAACGGCACCGTTTCATCCTTCTCCACAACCTTCGTCTTTGCTATTTACCCTCATATCCCGACACTTAGCGGCCATGGCATCGCCTTTGTCATTGCCCCCCTAACACAAGCCTCCCATACGCAACGGCAAGCCAATACATGGGTCTCTTCAACATCACTAGCAACGGTAATGACACAAATCATGTATTTGTTGTGGAATTGGATACAATCCAAAGTACAGAGTTCAATGATACCAACAATAACCATGTCGGAATAGATATCAATAGTTTGACGTCGGTGCAAAGTTCGCCAGCTGGATGGTGGGACAAGAAAGGCCAATTCAAGAACCTGACTTTGACCAGTTGTAAACCGATGCAGGTTTGGGTCGATTACGATGGTCGTACGCATAAAATTGATGTGACGATGGCTCTATTCAACGAGGACAAACCGAAGAAGCCCCTTGTTTCCATTGTGAGAGATCTTTCTTCACTTATTCTCCAAGATATGTTTGTGGGTTTCTCATCTGCGACCGGTTCTGTTCAGTCGGAGCATTATGTTCTGTTGGAAAGAAAGAACTTTTAAGAGTGATGGAGAAGGTGTTTATTAACTTGAAAGATAAAAGAACATATTTAAGAAGAAGAAAGTTTTAGAACTTAGAGGACTTAGAAAATTTACTTAACTTCTCTTAATATTTCTTTTTTCTTCTTTGTTTACAAATGAGAGAGGAGATGGCTATTTATAGTCTCCAAAATACAAAATATCTAAAATATTTTAATCCTAAATCTAGATTATTCTTTCTTAATATCTAGATTATTTTATTACAATTATCTAGAATTATTTCTAGATTTTTATTCTTTACATCTTTCTAGAACATTTTAAGGAGGTGGAGAAATTAGATTTTTTCTAGAGAAAACTCTAGAATTTGGATTAAGTATAATTGGTTTTTGGCCCAATTATTATAACTTGATCCAAAATCAAGTTTACTTTTCAACACCCCCTCTTAAACTTGATTTTGCTACTCCTAGCAAACTCCTCATCTTGATAAAAGCTTCGCGCTTGAGTGGCTTGGTTAAGATGTCGGCTACTTGATCGTTAGTCTTCACATACTCCAACTGCACATCCATCTTGGTGACACATTCTCTAATGTAATTATAGCGAGTGTCGATGTGCTTACTTCGATCATGGAAGACAGGATTCTTTGCCAAAGCTATTGCTGACTTGTTGTCCACAAAAATCTTCGTTGGCTCCTCTTGTGGCAAAGTCAACTCCTTTAATAAGTTTCACAACCAAATAGCATGACAAACACATGAAGTAGCCGCTACATACTCCGCTTCACAAGTAGAAATGGTGATAATCGGTTGTTTCTTTGACACCCATGTGAATGCTGTTTCTCCAATGAAAAACACAAAACCACTTGTGCTTTTCCGATCATCTACGTCTCCACCCCAGTCGCTATCGCTATATCCAACAACCTTGTAATCATCAGAAATAGAGTAATACAAGCCAAAGTCGATCGTACCTTTGATATAGCGAATGATCCTCTTAGCTGCCTTGAAGTGAGTGGTTGTTGGATGCTCCATGTATCGGCTCACAACTCCAACTGCTTGTAAGATGTCAGGCCTTGTGCATGTTAAATAACGTAGACTCCCAACCAAACTCTTAAAGAGTGTTGGATCCACACTCTCTCCTTCTTCTTGTTTTGATAGCTTGGCTCCACATTCCATTGGAGTACAAACTGGATTCGAGTCATCCATCTTAAACTTCTTCAGCACCTCTTTAGCATAACCTTCTTGAGAGATGAAGATTCCATTGTCTTCTTGTTTCACCTCAATTCCAAGGTAGTAAGACACCAATCCAATATCGGTCATCTCGAACTCCTTCGTCATCTCCTTCTTGAATTCCTCGAACATACTTGGATTGCTGCCTGTGAATATCAAGTCATCTACATACAAGCATGCAATCAATATATCATTGTTCTGTGTTTTGATATATAGTGCATGCTCATATGGACACTTGATGAAGCTTTTCTCCTTGAAATACTTATCAATTCGAGTGTTCCAAGCTCTTGATGCTTGTTTCAACCCATAGAGCGCCTTCTTTAACCTCAAGACTTTGTCTTCTTCTCCTTTGACTATGTAACCTTGTGGTTGCTCAATGTAGACTTCTTCCTCAAGATCTCCATTTAAGAAGGCTGATTTGACATCCATTTGATGTATCCTCCACCTCTTTTGGGCTGCTAATGAAATGATTAGTCTAATTGTTTCCAATCGAGCAACAGGAGCAAATACCTCGTCATAGTCGATTCCAGCTCTTTGACTATAGCCCTTTGCCACCAATCTTGCCTTGTATCTTTCAACTTCTCCTTTGGAGTTCTTCTTCGCTTTGTACACCTACTTTACACCAATCGCCTTATGCCCATTTGGAAGTGAAGCTAACTCCCATGTCTCATTCTTCTGAATTGACTTGATCTCTTCATCCATTGCGTTTCTCCATATCTTCTTCTCCATTGCTTCTTGGAAATTCATGGGTTCGCAATTCGCAAATAGGCAAAATAGAGTAAGATTTTCTTGGTTATCGGTTACCTCGTAAAGCTCTTGGAGACTTCTAAAAGGTGGAGTCCTTTCACTTGAACTCTCATCTCCTTGAGAACATGGTGTTGGTGAGGTTGGTGGAGTAACTGGCTCCTCTCTTGTCTGCTCCAAATCATATTCGTCAACATGTGGAAAGAAGTTGTAATTCTCATCATTTGATCTCCAGTCCCATTCTCCTTCTTCATCAAAGATGACATTCCGATTGATGACTGTCTTCGTTGTATCAGGATTGTAGAGCTTGTAGCCTTTGGAGTTTGCATCGTACCCAATGAAGGTGTACTTCTCACTTTTTTCATCTAGCTTGCTTCATTTCTCATCGGGTACATGAGCGTGGGCAAGGCTTTCAAAGACTCTAAGATGTGAAACACTAGGCTTTCTTCCACTCCAAGCGTCTTGTGGTGTTTTCTCCCAAACACTTCTCGTTAGAGATCTGTTTGATAGATAAACCGTACATGCAACTGCTTCTGCCCAAAACTCCTTTGGTAGCTTCTTACTTTTGAGCATGCTTCTTGCCATCTCAAGAATTGTTCTGTTCTTCTTTTCCGCTACTCCATTCTGTTGAGGGGATCTTGGCACCGTCAATTGTCTTCTAATGCCATTATCTTCACAATACTTCAGAAACTCTTTGGACATGAACTCTCCTCCTCGATCAGATCTCATGGCTTTGTTCACAAGGCCACTTTCCTTCTCAACATGGGCTTTAAACTTTTTGAAGTTCTCAAACACTTTTGATTTTTCTTTCAAAAAGTAAACCCATGTTTTTCTTGAAAAAATCATCAATAAAGAGAAGGAAGTAGTTACTCTTACCAAATGATCTTGGTTTAATTGGGCCATAAACATCTGTATGTATGAGCTCCAATGGCTTCCGTGCTCTTGTCTCTTACTCCTTTGGAAAGTTCATTTTGAATTGCTTTCCAAGTAGGCACCAATCACACACCTGATTTGGATGATTGATGCAGGGCAATCCTCTCACCATTTCTTTCTTAGAGAGTAGCTCCAATCCTCCAAAGTTGAGATGTCCTTAACGAAGATGCCAAAGCCAAGACTCCTCCTTGTAGCACATCTTGAGACATTTTGCGATGTCATTTTGAATGTTCAGAACAAATATTCTATTCTTTGACATCGGCACCTTGGTGATGAGATTGTTAGCTTGATCTCTTATAGAAAGGTTATTGTCCTTTAGTCGAATATCATAACCTTTCTCTAAGAGCTGTACAAGGCTCAAGATGTTGGTCTTCATGCTTGGAATATAGTAAACATTGGAGATGAATTGGTGATCTCCATTCTTCATTCGAATGAGAATTTTTCCTTTACCTTTCACCTCCATTTTTGATTCATCCCCTAAGGCCACGTCACCTTTCACCGACTCATCAAGCTCCACAAATATGCTTCTTTTCCCGCACATGTGATTGCTTGCGCCGCTGTCAAGGTACCACTTGTGGACCTCATCTCTTTTATCCTTCTTGTACGCTATTAGCAGCATATCTTCTTCTTGGCTTCTTTCTTCAGCATAGTTGGACTTCTCTTCAACTCTATTATTGTTTGGAGCTTTGCATTCAGAAGCATAATGTCCAAACTTCCCACAATTATAGCATTTGACGTTTGATTTGTCGTACCTTGATTTTGGAATTCCTCTCCCATGTCCTCTTGATGAGCTTTCTCCTCTTTGGTTAGTCTTGTCTTCATAGGACCTCCAGCCACGTCCATTTCCATAACCATAACCTCTTCCTCGTCCTTGACCGCCACCTCTTCTTGGATGACTTCGGCCTCTTCCATCTTTGGTTTGATCAATTTGCATCTTGAGAACTTGTTCTGCAAGGTCTTCCTTCTTCTTCATCTTTTCTTCATAGGCTTGTAGTGATCCTAGTAGTTGCTCCATTGCCATATCCTCCAAATCTTTTGTCTCTTCAATGACAATGACAATATGCTCAAATTTTGAATCCAACGATCTAAGAACTTTCTCCATGATTCTCACTTCATCTAGCTTCTCCCCATTTCTCTTTAGGTTATTAGTAACCGCTAGAACTCGTGAGAAGTAATCTTGGACGAGTTCACCTTCCTTCATTTGCAATGCTTCAAATTCTCCTCTTAGAGTTTGAAGACGTACCTTCTTGACTTGCTCTGCTCCCTTGTAAGAAGTTCGAAGATTCTCCCATGCTTCTTTGGCCATCTTTACTCCGGCGACCTTCCCGAATGTGTCTTCATCTAATCCTTGATAGATGAGACAGAGAGCCTTCTTGTCTCTCTTCCTTGAGTCTCTCAAACTATCCTTTTGAGTTTGAGAAAGACTACATTCATTCTCCGGTTCAATGTAGCCTTTTTGGACAATCTCCCACACGTCATGTGCTCCAAGAATGGCCACCATTCTTAGACTCCAGTTGTCGTAGTTTCTCTTTGTGAGTATTGGAACTTGGAAGGGAATACCATTGCTTGCCATCCTTAAGAGAATCAACCTTGCTCTGCTACCACTTTGTTGCAAAGAAAGAACTTTTAAGAGTGATGGAAAAGGTGTTTAAGAACTTGAAAGACAAATGAACAAATTTAAGAAGAAGAAAGTTTTAGAACTTAGAGAACTTAGAAAATTTACTTAACTTCTCTTAATATTTCTCTTCTTCTTTGTTTACAAATGAGAGAGGAGATGGCTATTTATAGTCTCCAAAGTACAAAATATCTAAAATATTTTAATTCTAAATCTAGATTATTCTTCCTTAATATCTAGATTATTTTATTATAATTATCTAGAATTATCTCTAGATTTTTATTCTCTACATCTTTCTAGAACATTTTAAGGAGGTAGAGATATTAAATTTTTTCTAGAGAAAACTTTAGAATTTGGATTAAGTATAATTGGGTTTTGGCCCAATACTTCTCAACATGAGGCTCCTTTGTCTTTATGGAAACTCCCAAAGCTTCCTCGGTTCCAGCCTAAGAGAATATCGGATTTTTTCAAGTTTGGATTGCCGTTGATTTCCCTCTTTTTAATTGTCTCTTTGATCTTCCTCGTCTGCTTCATGGTGAGGAGGCGGAGAAAGTTAGCCGAGGAGCTCGACGATTGGGAAACAGAGTTCGGTAAGAATAGATTAAGGTTCAAAGATTTGTACTATGCGACCAAAGGGTTCAAGGAGAAGGATCTTCTCGGATCTGGCGGGTTTGGGAGGCTTTACAAAGGTGTGATGCCCGGGACAAAGTTGGAGATCGCTGTGAAAAGAGTCCCACATGAGTCTCGACAAGGGCTAATAGAGTTTGTGTCCGAGATTGTGAGTATTGGTCGGATGAGTCACCCGAATTTAGTCCCTCTTTTGGGTTATTGTCGCCGAAGAGGCGAGCTTCTTCTGGTGTATGATTACATGCCCAACGGAAGGTTAGACAAGTACTTGTACAACACTCCAGAGGTAACACTCGATTGGAAACAGAGGATTAAGGTCATTTTAGGTGTTGCCTCTGGCTTAATCTACCTCCACGAGGAATGGGAACAAGTGGTCATCCACATAGATGTTAAAGCGAGCAACATCTTGTTAGACGAGGAGCTCAATGGGAGAATTGGCGATTTTGGCTTGTCTCGTTTTTATGATCATGGGACGGATCCTCAGACAACAGATGTCGTTGGGACATTAGGAAACTTAGCCCCTGAACACACCCAGACAGGACGTGCCACAACTGCAACTGATGTTTATGCTTTTGGGGCGTTTTTACTAGAAGTCGTGTGTGGTAGACGTCCTATCGAGATCCAGCACGAGAGCAATGGAACTTTTTTGCTCATGGATTGGGTTTTTTGGGTTATGGAACATGGGAAACATCTTAGATGCTAAATATACGAATATGGGTTCCGAATATGATGAAAAAGAAGTGGAATTGGTTTTGAAGCTAGGTCTATTGTGCTCTCACTCCAACCCACGGGCTAGACCAAGTATGAGGCAAGTGCTACATTGTCTTAGAGACGATGCAAACTTATCAGATTTGTCCCCGTTAGACTTGTCCAGAAGTGGGATGATGTTTTGGGTCCAAAACAGATTTAGTGAATGAAGGATGTTGTACTCTTCCTCTGTCATTGAAGGTTTTACCGATAGATCTTCCATAGCTGATTCTTTACTCTCCGGGGGGGAGGTGAATGTGTTGAATATTATAATGTTTTTGTGTGTTTTGCAATTTATATGTAAATACTCTGGCACCATATAAAAATAATTTAATGTATACTAAAGTAAAGTAATTGAAATATTTTTCTAATATTTTTCTGGCGGAATCTAATCTTTGTCGTTTTTATACTTACAAAATGCTTTCACATTAGCATTGTGAAAAAAAAAGTCTCACTCAAACATATATATTAAGGATTGAAAGAACATATAAAATTTATGGCGTTAAAACCTATTTTAATGTAGAAATTTCCATTCAAACTATAAAAAGTGGTAAAATGGTCAAAAGCACATATATATATATATATATATATTAACTTTGTTTAAGCAATATATGAGATCATCATATTTGAATTTGAACTGAAATATTTCTCTATAAATTAATAAAATATTAATTTTTCGATAAATTAATAATTATTAATTTATCGATTAATTAATAACTTTATAAATTAATAAATTTTTGAAGTCCCAACATTATTAATTTATAGAGGTTTTACTGTATATATATAAAATAAAAATAAAACAAATGAAAAATGTTATTGATTTCAATAGAAATTGAAGATAAAAAAAATATTAACCAAGATTTTAAAATACTTCCTTAGATAAAATGGGTTTTACCATGTTTACTTATTCTAAAAACGGTTAGGTGGTTGGTTCGCAAGAATGTAAATCAAAAAATATAAATTGACTAATACTTAAAATTAAAATTAGACTGTAATCAAGGTTAACAAAATATATGCACGACAAGTTTGCGTGCGACTTATTTTTTTGCGTAATTAATATTTATATCTACACGCATATTTTTGAAAAATCAAAATATGCTTTTTATGTGTTAAAAGAAAATAAAAATACATGTTTTCTAATATATATTTTATAATATATATTATTGATTTTTATATAAAATAATACGAATATTTATGCAAGTAGACATGAGTTAGAAGTAAGTGAATTATAATATTTACGTGTTGGTTAGTTTTTCAGATATTTTTCGCAAACATTATGTTTTGACACGATACAGTTTTTGGCGTTTAACAACAATCACAAATACCGTTTCTATCCTTTTGTATTTAGTAAAAATTTCTTATTTTCAGCATTATATGATATATGGTTTTTCAATAAAAATTATAATTAACATTTATTATAAATTTTGTCAGTTCTTATTTTATAAAATTCTCCGTTAGCTCTCCGCTCATCTCTTTGTCAATTTTTTTGTAGCCAGCAATCGCTCGCTTCCACAAACTCTCTGTAACTGCAGCGTTTAAACCAGCGGAATCCTAAACTTATATGTGTATGGTTTAAGGTGTACAATAATATATTTAATATTTGACTGTTATATTAAAAAATAAGAGTTCTTCTGTTCCAAACTTTGATATATGTGTTAATCTTATATATAATGGATCACACAATATATACAAAACTTGATTCATGAAATAATGTTTTAATATGTTAAAAAATATATGCATAAAAGAATTAATATGTGTAAGATAATATTTTAAAATATTTCAAAATAAAAGCATAAAGTCGATCAAAATTATTCTTTTTGTCTTCTTTGACTCATATTTTTTTTAACCTTGAATAATATATTAAACATTAAGATCATCTCCAATATATTTTTCTATTTTTTTCTCTAAAATATAGATAAATTTTTCTCCAACCTATTTCTATTTTAAAGGCAAAAATAAAAATTGTTTCTTTTTTCTCTAGTTATAGAGGAAAAAATAACATCGCTATTTTTCCTCTAAATCAGAAGATTTAAAATAATGATGTTTTGAGAATGCTTTAAACCAAAGATATAGCCTGATATTTTTACAGAAAACCAAAGTCGTAAATATTTATTTTTACTTTTACTTTTACTTCTTATTCATATATGCAGTATAATAAAAACAAATTTGTTAAGAGGATAGCTATAATTTATTTTACTATCTGTTTATTCTTTTGTTTCATTTATAATTTCGAATTTTTGCTATATAATAAGAATGCATTCATTTTTTTCTTATTTAAAAATGAGATTTATTTTGTTTTAACTCAACCAATCAAAATATTTCATTCGTTTTAGAAAATTTTCCATGTCAAATTTCCAGGTCACTATTTCATTAATATTAATTTGCACTAACTTTTGCTAAAGTTGTGACACATCAGAAATTTTTCATTAAACCTGTTTCTCATTTAATATAATAAGAATGCATTCACTTTTTTCTTATTTAAAAATGAGATTTATTTAGTTTTAACTCAACTAATCAAAATATTTTGTTTATTTTAGGAAATTTTTCATGTCATATTTCCATGTCACTATTCCAAGTCAACATTAATTTGCACTAACTTTTGCTAAGGTTGTGACACATCAGAAATTTTCATTAAACTTGCTTCTCATTTAATAGTTAGGATAGAAAAAAGACAAGCATTGAAAGCTAAATGAAAATGTTAAATATTTAGTTTTTCGATTTTCGTTTTGTTCAAAACTATATACTATACAATTACTCGAAGGTGAAAAACAATTATCCGTTGAACATAAATCTCACTATCCTGGTGAAAAATTATCTGTAAAAGGAAACAAACACCGAAATACTCAGACACACAAAAGTCAAGAAAACAAAAGAAAAATATATATATGAGTGTTACATTCCAAACTCAATTAAATTTCTCAAATCCAGTTAAATTCCTTCACATCTAAAGCTGAAAAGGTAAGATTTATTTCAACGCTAAACTTAATTGTTGCTAACCCTCCTCCTTGGACTATTTAAAGGACGACTCGATCAGATGTTTAGACTGTACAGAACAACTATAAGCAAAGTTCTCCCAAAATATCTCCAGTACAACAACCAATAAATATCTCAGCCGCCACCTTTTGGGCAACTAAACAAGATGGTGATTAAAACTAAACAAAATGATGACTAAGCATATAAACTAAGCAAGATGAATATTAGAAGCAAATAAGAAAAGACAACTAAGCAATAAGCGAATTTAGACTATGAATAAAAGGTAAGACCTAAGGCTCTAAGCAATAGTGGTTAAGTAGCAATAAAAGTGACTAAGGGGTTTTCTAAACAAGGCAATCACATAAGTAATTCATAATCAAGCATTTCTCAATATTGTAATCCTAGGCAAGGTTTTTAAATAGAATCAGCTCATGGTGTATAAGACAAATCCATTTCAACAAAACTTGTGTGTCAAACCCACGTTTTATGGTGTATTCACTAGCCATGATTATGAAGCAAATAACCCTTAACTGCCTAAAAGAAGAACCTATTAAGAACCTTTCTTTCACAATGCAATGATTCAAGTCAACCTAAAAATCTGTTAGGATTCTCTAGGGACTTATGCACCAACTCAACAATTCAAGAATATGATATCAAGCTCAATGAAATGCGAAACCTAAACAATGCTAAGCAATGAACCAGATTTCAATCAAAAAGATGTTTTTTTGATGCAAACTGTTTAACCATCAAGACTCATGAATCAAGCATCATCTAGCGCTAAGCGAATCATCTAGCAAGGCAAACTGTCAACTTTATTGTCACAAGACAAAGGAACCATAAGCAATGCTAAACTATCAACCAAATAAGCGAACCATGCAAAGAAACAAGACATCAAGCTCTTAAGTGAATCATCAACATCAACAAATTCATATTCGCTCAAAAAGGAGAATCCTTATCAACAATAACAACTTTGCAAGGGAATAAAGCAACATAGATTATCATTAAACAGCCTAAACACCCTTAATCAACTCCTAAAAACTACTTTCCCTACTTAGAACCTCAAATCTAAGGTAAACTACTCACTAATCATGTTTAATCCTATTTGATTAGAGATAAACATGATTAGATGAGATGAAATGCAAAAATAAAGAACTAAACTACCAGGATGCGAAAATTAAATGCAAAACACGAGATCTAAAACATAAATTGCAAGACTTGATTGAAAAGAAGAAAGTTATACAAAGTTTAGGCAAATCGCCCTTTTTAGTAAACTAAGGATAAGAACAAGCTTAGAACTTCTTAGACGTCAAGGATAATGTTTGTGGTTTCCTTTTTATACCAAGGAACCAAAAGTAAGGAGAAAAACCTGAAAACTAGGATAAGGTCAAAGAAAAAGGCTGGTCAACACGCAGAGAAATCATATCAGGCTGTACAGATGGTGTTCAGCTCGATGCACTATCTCGGTGCGAGTCCTCCGTTCTGCGGGTGATCCTCTCGGCTGTGTGCTCGTCCTGATGTGAAATTAGGTTGTATCGGGCAAGGTATCGGGTGTTCTGCTTGATGCTGGAACCCGATATGCTCTGTATCTTCCAATCGGCTCGTACAGCCCTCCTCGCTCGACACGCCTTCTCGATGTGAGCCAACTCCTTCAAACCCACGACCAAGTCTTCTTCTCCGTGTACTGCAGTCTGCATCGAGCACACTCCACAGGTGTTCTGCTCGATGTTCCTCCTCGATATGAAGACATATTTTGCAAGACTCCTTCTCTTAGCATCTCCTTGAATATGTGCTGCACCAATCTCCTTCCCAAGCTCCAAAACCTCCAAATACACCTGAAAACACTATAAACATGCACACGTATGCAATCCTAAGCCAAATGCATGCAATGTTACTTCTAGATGCAAATGAGACTAAAATGTTAAGTAAAGATGCAAAAACAAGGGAAAAGATGAATGAAATGCAGTCTAAATGATACAAGCT